TGGGCATGCACACACACGCGCCCAGCGTGAGTTTTAAGCCACCAGGTCCAGGACTCGAACTGCAGTCTACTACATGGGAGTCCAGCAACATAGCCATTACATTGACTGCTGGTCCCCTGGAGTGAGTTTTAAGCCGCCAGGTCCAGGATGTAAAATGGGGTTGACTACATGGGAGTCCGGCAATGTAACCATCACGACAACTGCTGGTCCCGTCCTTTTTAAGGATTTTGCCACAGAGCTCGTGCACTTGCCACAGAGACGATGAGAGGGAGAAGTCACCCTACTAGGGGATGGCCCACACTACATTCTCGTCTCCATTCTCTGCTCAGGATTTGGCAGCACATGTACATGTGTCTGGTGTGATTTTTCGAGCCATCAGGTTTGGAACTCAAAACTATAGTCAGCCATGTGACCGCAGTTGGGGGTCCAGCACCTTAACCACCATGCCACTTGCTTTCCCCAAGAAATTCATTTTATCAGGGCTGGCAGGTGTTGTCGTGGTTAAGGACACTGGACTCCCACATGGCAGACCACAGTTCGAGTCCCAGACCAGCAGTGTGCTTTCTCACTTTCCCTCTGTTTCTCTCTCTCTCACGCTCTCTTGCTCTCTTGCTTTGTCCCTCTCTGGTCAAATTAAAAATAAATGAATAAATAACGTTAAATAAACATAATTCTTTTAAAAAATTAATTTTATTATCCCCAAAATTCTTTGTCCTTTTATAGTAAATACCTCCGCCATCTCCTGCCCTTAGCAACCACTGATGTATTTTTGTCCCTATGTTTTTGACTTTTTTTGTTTTCAAGAGAGTGTTTTGTTCTCCTTTATTCCTGATACTGTGTTTGTGTATGCGAGAGAGAGAGAGAGAAAGAAGCACCGTCCGCAGGGTCCAGTCACGCCAGTCTACTTCCTCCAGTCCAGCCCACTCACGTGAGCGCCCAGCGGGTTTTAGCCGCCTGGGCTGGAATTGGATGGTCATCACCAAGTGGGGTCCGGCGTCACAGCTTCTCTTGGTCAGTGCTATACCACTGTACCGTGGAGCTGGGCCTGCCTGGTTTTGCCTTTTCGAGAACGTCATATAAATAGAATTGTATGAGAGAAAGCCTTCGAATGTGTGTGCATGTTCAGTCTGGCTCTGCGAAGCACAAAGCTCACCTGCCATTGCCCCTGCCAGTTTGTTACTGCTTGTTGCTGAGCAGTAGTTCTCTCTTGCGTGCATGGTTTCAGCTGATCTAGGCATCATTTGAAGGGCATTTCGGTTGTTTCTGGTTTGGAGCAAAAACTTAGATTTCTGTGGGCCAGCCTGTGGTGTGGTTAAGGCAGTTGCATCCCACATGGCTAACTGTGCAGTTCGACTTTTGGACCCCGAGGCTTGGGCATGCGGGGTGCGCGTGTGTGAGTATGTACATGGCCCAGACTCCTGAGGGGAAGAGAGATGGAGGAGAAGGCATTGCAGTGTGACCACCGCCCGTGGGGGCTTTCTTCACTTTCCTCACTTTCCTGTCTCACTGTCCATGTTCACACGCGGCTTCTTGCAAAAATTAAAATAAACAAAAAACTCCAAGAAAATAACTTAGCATCTATAAGTAACTGCTACTGAAGCATGTGGCCCACACATCTGTGCCTCTCTGCATGTGCAACCATCTCTTTTTTTCTCTTTTTTTGGAGAGATTTTTGCTATAGGGTGTGTGCGCTCACCAGACTGAGAGAGACATTAGAGACAGAAAGCGAGAAATCACCACCCAGGGGGGATGGTCACACCACAATCCCTTCTCCTCCAGTCTCCTCTCAGGATCTTGGGCACACACGCACATGCGCCCTGCGTGAGTTTTAAGCCACCAGGTCTGGGACGCGAACTGTGGTCGACTATGTGGGAGTCCAGCAACATAGCCATTACGCTAACTGCTGGTTCCTGCAACCATCTCTTTTGTATTGAGATAGTGACTTTGTCTCTTAACTCTCAGGTTCCTGAGAAACGGTGCTGGTGAGGGAGGTTGCGGGGTCCACATGCACGCGTGCCTTGTCCCGCCACATGTGCCTGGGAACACTTGTCCTTGCCACGGAAGGCCTGCAGGGAGCGTCTGGGTAGACATGCCTTTACTGGGTATTTTCTCTTAGGTTATTCTGGGTGTCCCCGTGCCGGGCTCAAATGCTGCTCAGGGTAGGAGATGGTGGGTAAGGAAACAAGTGGCCCCGACTCGGGGCTGGGGAAGTGGAGGGTCTTTTGCTTAGAGCAAAGCTCCTGGCCCCTGGAGGAGGGACAGGCCTGTGAAATGAGGTGTGACCAGCTTGAGAAGGCATCTTCATTCAGAGAGCTACGTCTGGGAGCCCCCAGCCCAGGGCCAGTAGTAACTAGAGCTGTGCGGTGGGCAGGGCCTCAGGTTCGCAAATGGGAAAGGGGGCATCAGGAGAGACCCACCAGAGGGGTTCACCAAGCAGTGGGTGCAGCAGAGTCAGCCAAAGCCTTCACTCCTTCCCCTTCGTACCTGCCCAGCCTCCACTGCCTCCGTGTTCTCTGATGTCCAGGGAGCACAAGGGGATGCGTGGGTTTGTTGTTCATGCTGATTCGGTTCATCCAACGTATGCATCCATGCCTAGTTGTGTCCAGCCCAGGAATGCAGTGGGGAGGAGACAGGGTAGGGTCCCTGGGTTTATACCGGTGACCCACAGCCACAGGCAGAGAAGAAAGTGTGGGGAGCCCAGATGTTCTCTCTGAGGCCACTGACAGATGCCGCTCCGGGCAGCTCTGTGTGGCGATGATGCCGCACTGGCCTCTGGGAGCTTTACTTGGAGTGAAGAGAGGGAGAGGCTGAGCAGCAGATGAAGCTCTGAGAGCAGCCAGCAGGCCGGAGGGAGGTGCAGCCAGCAGAGCTGAAAGCCACTGTGAGGCTCTGGGGTCCTCTCAGCATGGCTCTTCTTGAGCACTGCAGCAGGCACAGCTGGGGTATGCAGTCCACCTCAGCAGGTCCCCATGCACTTCTTGGCCATGCCAGAGCACACCCGGGGTAGCAGGGCTCTGAGCAACTGATGGTTTCCACCTGCCAGTTGTTCAGCCCCCTCCATAAAGCCACATTCTTCTCAGACCGTGGAGCCCTGGGTCTAGCTACTGCTGCTGATCGTAAGGACAAAGGAAGTCCATGTGCGGCCCAGCCCCTGCCAAGTGACCCTCGCCTCGTCACCCCTGCCTCCCCTGGCCAGAGCAATAGGAGGGGCTTACCTTGACCCCAGCTAGGATCTACTGTGGGATCTCTGTTAGGGTCCTCAGGATGAGCCCAAACTCAGACTTGACAGTTGCTAGGGAGCCTCATGGCCAAGATTTTCCTGTTGCCAAAGGACACAAAGCAAAACCAGCCAAGGGAAACGCTGTGTGAGGTGCACTCCAGAGGACTCCAGACATAAGCTTCCAAAGTCCTCTCAGTGCAGTTGCACAGGGTGTGCTTAAATGAACTCCCGAGCTCTGACAGCACGGGAGAAATGCTGGCCACTCTAGACACTCACTGGGGCGGTCACGTTTGCAGCCTCTGTCTGGCGTATACCCAAATCCCAGGCTCCCAGAGGAAGGCAGTGTGCAACATAAACTGCACTGTTTGCACAGCAGTAGAGGCATGGTAAGTCCCCACCTGTTAGAGACTGCGGGAAGCCCTCCTGACACCCAGGCTCCTGAGCCAGCCAAGTGTAGCTTTGTACACGGGCCTTGCAGGGAAAGCAGTCAAGTCTGCTCCGTGAACTCCTGTCTGCACAGTGTTGGTGAGACGGTCTAGTCCAGTCCAGACTTAATGGCCATCCCTGGGTATCTGCCCTGTACTGAGTCCTACGCTGGCTCTGGGGCACAGTGGGGAAGGAGAGCAAGAATCCCGCCCCTGGAGTTGACAGGCTGGGTGAGTCAGGAGTAGATGAAGGAATAACTGGGGCATGGGCAGTGCCCATGAGGATGAAAAGGAAGTGGAGGAACTGAAGAAGCAGGGCATCAACCCCCTGCCCAAGCCACCTCCTGGAATCGGCCTCCTGGTGCTCCTGGTTCACTACACAAGAACAGAGGGAGAAATAGAAGCCAGGCCTCTGAGAGGGACCCCTGGCCAAGTGCTAAGCTAAAGCAGGAGCACTTAGAGCTGAGGGGTTGGGGCCTGCAGGAGGAAGTGAGGCCACCAAGGAGCCACTCAGTCTTCCCAGTCAGAGCATCAGTCAGGAGCTGGTGTTTTTTTGCTTGTTTTTACAGAATTATTTATTCAATATTATTTCTTATTTAATTTGACCAGAGAGAGAAAGGGAGAATGAGAAAGCAAGTCACCAGGTCTGGGACTCTTAACTAATTGCATGTGGGAGTCCAGCACCTTAACCGCCATGCCACCTGCTGGCCCAGGAGCTGGTGTTGTATTGTAGGTTAAATGTGAAGCCCTTAACTCCAAACAGGATAGTTGGAATATTATACAGTCATGAAAAGGGACCAAGGACTGATCAATTCTGCAACAGTGACACACCTGACTGAATGAAAGAAGCCAGGCATGGAAAGCTACGTGGCCACGTGGCATGTGGTTCCGTATGTGAGAAGTCCACAACAGACACATCCCTAGTGGCAGGGGCTGGGGGAGGGGCTGCTTCGTGGGTATGCGGTTTCCTTCAGGGTGAGGAAGTGCCCTGGACGGAACAGAGGCAGTAGCGGCACAGTGTCGCGAATGTGCTGAATCCTCTGAGTTGCTTACTTGAAGGTGGCTGCAGTAGCACGCTTCGTGCTGGGTCTGTTTTACACAGTGTGGGAGTGGCCGCCCCGCTAGACCGTCCTGTGGAGGCCGAAGGGGTCTTACGTTTATCACCCGTCTATTTTGAGTCGTGTGTGACGGTGATCTTTTGTTCCGAAGAGGATTCGCGGGCACTCACCTTACACTGTGAGGGCATCACGGTCCTCCTTGTGTTTGAGTTTTGACTTTTCTTCCTCAAAATTCAGCTCTGAGCACTGGAGAGGGCACTGCCTGCCTGACTCTGGTCTGAACCTTTCTCATCCCAGATGTTGGCGGATGATGCAGAAGCAGGTGCTGAGGACGAAAAGGAAGTGGAGGAGCTGAAGAAGCAGGGCATCAACCCCCTGCCCAAGCCACCTCCTGGAGTCGGCCTCCTGCCCACCCCTCCCCGCCCCCCAGGGCCCCAGGCTCCAACCTCTCCCAATGGCAGGCCCATGCAGGGTGGCCCACCGCCCCCCAGGACATGTACAACAAGAAAATCCCCTCCTTGTTTGAGATCGTGGTGCGGCCCACAGGACAGCTAGCGGAGAAGCTGGGTGTGAGGTGAGTGCCCTGGCCCCCAGGTTGGGCCTGTGGAGGCTGGCCTGGGCTCCACCAAGCTCCACCTGTGAGCCTGGCTGACGCTCTGCCCGAAGTCACTGGAGTCCTGGTCTAGAGGCCATGACCTTGGGCTCTGCAGGCCTCCGTGTGCTTAGCATGCCTGTTCAACCTGCAGAGCCTTCCTCAGGGGAGTGTGGCCGCTGCTTCTCTCAAAGGTACTATTTCTTCCTTCCCTAGGTTCCCCGGACCTGGTGGACCCCCAGGGCCAATGGGCCCAGGGCCCAACATGGGACCCCCAGGGCCAATGGGGGGCCCAATGCATCCTGACATGCATCCTGACATGCACCCGGACATGCATCCTGACATGCATCCTGACATGCACCCGGACATGCACCCCGACATGCCGATGGGCCCTGGCATGAACCCTGGTCCGCCCATGGGACCCGGCGGCCCCCCCATGATGCCCTATGGTCCTGGGGACTCCCCACATTCTGGAATGATGCCCCCTATCCCGCCAGCCCAGAACTTCTATGAAAACTTCTACCAGCAGCAAGAGGGCATGGAGATGGAGCCGGGCCTCCTTGGGGATGCAGGTACGCAGGGCTACAGTGGGCTGCCAGGACTGGCACGGTGGAATCAAGTTGGGAACGTGACTTCTCTTTCCTGGTCCATGCGTCTTTGAGAACATGACTCCACCTCCCATCTCTGTTCCCTTTAATGGTTGAATGTTTTCGGTGAAGAGGGATTCGTTGTCCTGTTGAGGCAGAAAGGTGTATTACGTTTACTATCAATCTAGTTTACTTTTTAAGAAGTTGTGCTCCACGTGCCTGGAGTCAGGAGCATGGGAAGTTAGAGTGGAGTGCTGCAGGGCTGAGGCCAATGGCCGTCGGTTCGAGTCAGGTGCCTTGGGCAACACCACTACTTTCAGACCATTTGGCTTGGAGCCGCCAGTGTTAACCCTCTGCTTCTGCTTGTTCTGTCCCCATGGCTGGTCATTTTTCCTCCTCTCTCCTCTTTGCTTTGGTAACAGCCTAAGTGGTACAGTGTGCAGCTTTCAGAGAAGAGGGGCGTTGCTCCACAGGCACGGTCAGAGAGAGCTGGGCTGCCATGGCCTTGCCTGAGCTGCGCTTTAGTGGAGAGAAGCAGATGGCAGACTGGTAGATACATGAGTCAGCTCATTTCGGCATCGCCCATTGTTAGAGGGTGAGAGGGGCAGTGTGGGACAGGGATGGGGCGGGATAGCAGGGAGCCAGCAAAGGGCGTGTCTGAGAAGGGAAGTGCAGTCTTGGGCTCGCAGAAAACCCAGCAGGTGTGTCTCCATTCCCAGCTTGCCTAAGAAGAACGGGGGCAGCCCTATAGCTTTGAAGGGAAGACTAGGGTGAGAGGGCCCAGCACACGGAGCTGTTCGTCAGCTATGTCAAGGGATGGCCTCATTGCTGTCAAGAAAGTGGTGGGGGATCTGAGGGCAGTGGGTGGTAGGAGCCCAAGTGGAATCTGGGAGAAGCTTCTGGGCAGCTGGAGAGTTGTCTTGGGAAGAGACAGGCAGGGTGGCTGCAGGAGGTGGCCTGGAGTCATAGGGTAGGCCTCATGGTCTGGAGATGGTACCATAGGGCCACCATGACTCATACTTGCATTGCAAGGCTGGGGGTGGTGGACACCATGTTGCTGGGGAGTGCTCACGCCCTTTCCAGCATGGCGTGGCCTGCTGGAGCACTGCGTCAGGTGAGTGGGAGTGAGCATGGCCGCAGGTGAGCGAGCACCACTGCTCTGGCCACATTAAGCATAAGGTGCGCATTTGGTGGCCTCGCAGAGCATCTTGGGGGGCTATGGAGGGGTACCGGGGACGTCCAAATCGGGGGTCAGGGAGAGTCTTTGTGCCTTGGTGGTGAGGAGCAGGGTCCTTTTAAGAGCAGTGTAGGTTCCCACGTGGAAAAACAAGCTGGAGAGCGAGGGTGCTTTATACACGGGTATGGGATGTGGGTGGTAAGAGCCCTGCAGGCGTAGGCGTCTCAAACCAGTCACATGCTGTTAGCAGTGGGTATCCCTAGAATAGTGCATGTTTTTAAAACTGGGACATAGTTCCTGAAGCATAAAACCCACCCTTTAAAAAGTGTGTGGTCAGAGGTTTCACATGTCTTCCCAGAGTCTGTTCTGTAAAGGGAGAACCTCGAGGGTCGTGTTCACTGAGTGTCCCCAGCCAGGTAGCACAGGGCGGGCTCACTTGGCCAGCAGGCTCACGCCAGGGCGCAGGTGCTACCGGAACCCACCTTCTACTCCGTACTCTGCAGACTTGTAGGTAGGAAGCCATCTGCAGGTTTAATGATTTTTAATCCCTATACATTTACGGTCACTCAAGTTCAGTTTTAGGCTCTCTTTCTTGGTAGCACTCGCTGTATTTCAGAAGCTCGGCAGCCCCAGGAGGATGGTAGTGGCTGACCACACAGCAGGGACCCAGAACTTGGCACCCTGCTCTGGGGCAGCACGCACTCTAGACACTGCCTCGGCAACTCGCACTCCTCACCTGCACGCACGCATATGCACACGCACATACCCTCCAGGGGTGGTACCTGGCCTTCTCTGCAGCACTCGGGTGGGGTCTCCGTAGCCTGTGCTGCTGCGTATGCTCGTCTCCCTTTCTGCAGGGGGTGCCAGTGCCAGGGGCCTGCCATTCAGGTGAAAGCAGAGCCTGGGACCAATAGTTAGCGTAATGGCTATGTTGCTGGGCTCCCATGTAGTCGACTGTGGTTCGAGCCCCAGAGCCGGTGGCTTAAACCCAGGCCAGGCGTGTGTGCATGCGTGCCCAAGATTCTGAGAGGAGAATGAAGGAGAAGGGATGGCGTGGCCCTACCCCCTGGGGGGATGATTTCTCGCTTTCTGTCTTTCTGGCGAGTGCACGCGCCCTATAGCAAAAGGAAAAAAAAAAAAAAAACTCTCAAAAGAAAGCAGAGAGCCTCTGCTCAAGTGTCCTTGGGTGCCATGGCCCTGCCCCCTCGTGCAGCATACTTGCCAGCTGTTGTGCCCAGGAACCTGGGAATGAGGAGGAGACTCACCCATAGGCCCATGGGTTGTGGCCAGAGCCACCTTTTGGTGTATGGTATTCTCTTTTCCTTGTTTGGTGGTTTATTGATTATTACAAGGAAACCATGAAACTAATATTTATGGCAAATACGTCAGAAACATGTGGAATAAGAAGAGAAGGATTCGTTGGGACCAGCAGTTAGCATAATGGCTATGTCGCTGGACTCCCATGTAGTCGACCGCGGTTCGCGTCCCAGACCCGGTGGCTTAAAACTCACGCCAGGCGCGTGTGTGTGCATGCCCAAGATCCCGAGAGGAGAATGAAGGAGAAGGGATTGCGGCGTGACCATCCCCCCGGGGGGGTGATTTCTCACTTTCTGTCTTTCTGTCTCTCTGTCTCTCTCTGTCTGTCTGGCGAGTGTACGCACCCTATAAAGAAAAACCTCTCCCCCCCCAAAAAAAAAAAAAAAAAAGAAGAGAAGGATTCGTTGGCCTGTCTCTCCAGAATCTCATTTCCGGAGGGAGTGTTTGCTGTCTGTCTTTCAAAGCCTTTCCGTTGTACATTTCGCGAACATACATGTGACGTGCTGTGATGTTTTCACCTCATGAGCATTTGCCCACTAAAACTTCTCTGTGAACCTCATACTTCATGACTGCGTTGTGGGTGGGACCGTGTCAGGGGCTGCTCCGTTCCCCACTGGTGGGCTGTCCGTGGGTACCCAGTCTGGGGAGGGCAGGACAGGAGGGCAGCCACGTGTCCTCACCATTGCCATCCGGGGGTGGGTGTCCCAGTAAAGGGCAGAGGGGTTGGAGTTGATGCCTCGAGGCCCTTCCCGACATGAACGCTCGGTTCTTCCCTGCCGCAGAGGACTACGGGCACTACGAAGAGCTGCCGGGGGAGCCTGGGGAGCACCTCTTCCCCGAGCACCCTCTGGAGCCTGACAGCTTCTCTGAGGGAGGGCCCCCAGGCCGGCCGAAGCCAGGCGCCAGTGTCCCTGACTTCCTGCCCTCGGCTCAGAGGGCCCTGTACCTGAGGATCCAGCAGAAGCAGCAGGAGGAGGAGGAGAGAGCGAGGAGGCTGGCTGAGAGCAGCAAGCAGGACCGGGAAAATGAGGAAGGCACGTGTCCTCCCCAGGGGCAGGGGCTCGGCCGCAGGCCACTGTGCAGTGGAGAGGTGGGAGTGCCTAGGTCGGGTTTCCTGTCGGGAAGGAGCCTGTGGCCAGAGAGAACCCTGTCCAGGCCGTGAAGCCAAGCTGGGGCTGTGTGCATCCCTGAGCAAACTGGACATCAGATCCGCCTGCTGTCTTGGGGTCCGGGGTCCTAACCCATCAGAGAGGGCGGGGGGCTGGTCCCGGCAGGAGACAGCGGCCAACAGGATCGACTTCCTGCGGCCTTCCAGAGGAGGTTCAGGAGACCTTCAAGCCTCTCCCTGGACCACACTCTGAGGGAGCCAACAGACAGACTAGCTATTAAAATACGAAGGGACTTTACAAAGTTTGTGGAAAAACAGAATTTATTTTAGGGCAAAACGATTTGAAATCCATGCAGTATTTTGTAATACACATTTTCCATGAACTTTCTGAAGACTCTTTCATAAACCAGTGACAATCATGGTCAAAGCGTGGCTAGAACCTGAAGCCAGAGGCCATGGGTGCCCCTGACAAGGACCTGAGAGCCCATGGGGACAGAAGGAGGAAGGGCAGGGTAGCAGCCCCTCTGCTGGGGCTCGCCTGCCCAGAGGACTTTGCTTAGGCAGGGTCAGAACTGCCAGCCCAGCCCCACCTCTTAACAGCCGGCAGCGCTGGGCGGTCAGCATCTGCCTTGTCCTGGGACGTGGTGATCTATGGGGCCTGGGGAAAGGGTCTGTGAGTCGGTGGTGGCTGGTGCCGAGACCAGAAGGGCGCTGGGAACTAGCTGTGCCACATCGGCCCAAGCCAGCTGGAAGCCGAGGGAGATGGCAGAGCCTTGAGCTAGGAGTCCAAGCATGGTCCTGGCCCTACCCCGATTGAGCAGCACCGTGCTTTTCGTTTTTCTCATCTGCCAAATGGCATGGTGCTGGCGCAGCCCTCCGGTGCGGCTTGAGTTAGTGAGACAGAGCACTCAGACGGTGCCGCACAGGAGGGCTCTATAGACATTAGCCTCCACCGCTAGGCTCTGAGCTCGCCCGCCCGCCTGAGCCTCTGGGCCTCCTTGGCTTAGAGAGAAGGCGGAGCTGAGGTAAGAGCAGAGCTGTTCATCCCGTGGGCGGCCGTGGGTCTGCGAGGGCTGGCGGTGAGCATGGTAGCTGCTCACCCTCGCGCCTCTGCTCTTTCTCAGGTGACACTGGAAACTGGTACTCGAGTGACGAGGACGAGGGCGGGAGCAGCGTCACCTCTATCCTTAAGACCCTGAGGCAGCAGACGTCTAGCCGACCCCAGGCTTCAGTCGGGGAGCTGAGCAGCAGTGGACTGGGGGACCCCCGCCTCCAGAAGGGACACTCCACAGGAGGCCGACTGGCTGACCCTCGCCTCAGCCGGGACCCCAGACTCACTCGCCACGCCGAGGCTTCCAGCGGGTCAGGCTCAGGGGACTCTGGGCCCTCTGACCCCCGACTGGCTCGCTCTCTGCCCACCTCCAAGCCCGAAGGCAGCCTTCATTCCAGCCCCGCAGGCCCCAGCAGCTCCAAGGGATCTGGGCCATCCGCTGCAGAAGAGGAGGAAGGGGAGCGGGCCCTACGGGAGAAGGCTGTGAGCATTCCCCTGGACCCCCTCCCTGGGCACCCCCTGCGGGACCCGCGGTCACAGCTGCAGCAGTTCAGCCACATCAAGAAGGATGTGACCCTGAGCAAGCCGAGCTTCGCCCGCACTGTGCTCTGGAACCCTGAGGACCTGATCCCCCTGCCCATACCCAAGCAGGACACGGTGCCGCCCGTGCCTGCTGCTCTGCAGTCCATGCCTGCCCTGGATCCCAGGCTGCACCGTGCTACCACTGCAGGGGCCCCCAACGCCCGGCAGCGCCCAGGCCCATCCACGGACCCCAGTGCATCTGGCTCCAACCTGCCTGATTTTGAACTCCTCTCTCGCATCCTCAAGACTGTCAACGCTACAGGCTCCCCAGCGGGCCCTGGCCCAACTGACAAGCCCAGTGACCCCCGGGTGCGGAAGGCCCCCACTGACCCTCGGCTGCAGAAACCAGCAGACTCCACGGCCTCCTCCCGGGCAGCCAAATCCGGCCCCTCTGAAGCATCCTCTCCTGCCTCCAGCCCTAGTGGGGATTCCTCCCCTCCAGCCACAGCTCCCTACGACCCGCGCTTGCTGGCTGCTGGCGGGCTGGGCCAGGGCGGCGGGGGTGGCCAGAGCAGCGTGCTGAGTGGCATCAGCCTGTACGACCCAAGGACTCCCAACGCAGGTGGCAAAGCTGCAGAGCCGGCTGCAGACGCCAGCGCCCAGCCCAAGGGCCCCGAGGGCAACGGCAAGAGTTCGGTCCCCAAGGCCAAGGAGCCCCCCTTTGTCCGCAAGTCTGCCTTGGAGCAGCCGGAAGCGGGCAAGGCCAGTGCAGACAGCACAGCCACGGCCACGGACAGGTACAACAGTTACAACCGACCCCGGCCCAAGTCCTCTGCGGCCCCTGCCGCCACTTCGGCCACCCCACCACCAGAGGGCACCGCGCCCCAGCCAGGGGTCCACAACCTGCCCGTGCCCACCCTCTTTGGGACTGTGAAGCAGGCGCCCAAGACGGGCTCAGGAAGCCCGTTTGCTGGCAACAGCCCAGCCCGCGAGGGTGAGCAGGACGCAGGGTCTCTGAAAGATGTTTTTAAAGGCTTTGACCCCACCGCCTCCCCCTTTTGCCAGTAGTGTTAAGCCAGCCTGAGCCAGCGCTCCCTGCACCCCACCCTTCCCAGGGTGCTATTTAAGGGCAGCAGCCAGAGTCGGGAACTTGGTGGGCGGGGGAGGGTCCTGGGTGTTCTTTCTTTTTTCCTTTTCTCTTTCTTTTTCCTTTTCTCCTTAAAGTAGTACTTTCTTTGAGACTTACACATTGTATATAACTGTCTTCAGTTCTGGTCAGTGCTGTGGGCTCCTGCGCCAGCGCAGTCCCCAGTCCCCTGGAACTCAGTCCCCATTGGCATTAGGCCTGGCCAGGCCTCCAAGGCAGGGCGCTGCCTGGGCAGAGCTCGGCCCCCTCGCACCCTACCCCAGGACAAAGGGAGCGGTGTGTGGCGTCGGCGGAGGTGCTGAACATGGCTCACCGTGGCGTTGGGAGGGCAGAGACATAGCCGAGGCCAAGGTGGACTCGCAGAAGCAGGTACAGCATTGCCAGGACCCCAGGATACCCCGCGCCAACTCTAGTCCACAGGCCGTGACAACCTACTCAGGAGAAAGTGAGAAGTATTGAAGAAGGAAAGGAAAGAGCTGTTGGCAGACCCTGGGGACCTCGAGCTTGTGCACTCTCCCGTCTGAATTCACACACGGGGCCCTTCCTGCTACCCTCCGTCCAGAGTTCCTGAAAGCCGACACCTCCAGGCTGCAGCAGAAGACTCCGGCCAGGGAGATGGACCTGGAGTCACAGGGCTGGTGGGGCCAGAGCCCCCGAAGAGCCGCCTCCAGGAGGCCTCCCCTTAGAGCGCCGTTTCTGTCAGTATTACCCGTCCTGTCCTGTTAAACCCCCGCCCTCCTCCCACGCCAGGGGTCTGGGGTCTGGGGTCTGCCCCGTCCTCGGAAGCTACAGCGCCCAGTGCGCCTGCACTGCTGGCCTAGCCCTGGAAACAGCTCAAGGATCCGTGGTGTGGCCGCTTCAACAGACTCCCATCTGGGAGCCCTGGGGTGGCCCTTTGGCAAAGTGTTTCTGCTTCTCTGCTTTCTTCGCACTTAAGCTGGGTTAGCTTAGGGCACAAGGTATTGGGGTGTTTGGTTTTTTTTCTCCCAAACCGACGGCTGCATGGGTTCAGAGATGCATCGTGGTGTTGGGTTTGTGGACACCTCCAGGAAGGGGCGGGCAGCTGCAGCCCAGGCAGGGGCGTTGCTGGGCCCTTTGTAGGAGAGGGGCCCGGACCTCACTGGCAAGTGGGCAGAGGCTGCATCCTGCTTCCCTTGAGGGAGCAGAAAGGTCTGCACTGGCTGCCTCCCTGCCCCCCAAACCTAGCTGAGGTCCAGCTTCATCCGCAGAGCCCCTGAGGAGTCTCGCCCTGCAGACATGGTCTGTGGAGACTGGCCCAAGGGAACAGGTCTTCTCCCTCTGGGTCATCTCCGGGCCCCAGGAAACCTGTTAACTGTGGGCCATCTCCTGCCCTTTCTCCCAGTCCCAGCACCTCAGCTGCCTCACCAAAGGCCCCTGTCTTGTCACTGCTAATATATGAGGGAACCTGGTCACCCAGCCAAAGCCTTCCTCTCCCGCCTTCCGAGGGAGGGAGGGAGGGGAACAGGCTCCTGCAGCACCTCAAAAGGAGAAGGTTGGAAACAGTGCGGGCGTGAGACGTTGGCAGGGCATCCCATAGGGCCGGCAGCCCCAGCCAGGCAGCGCCACAGTGGGGTCGGTTTGGTTTGTCTTTTTTGGGGTTTGTGTTTTGTTTCATTTTTTAAAGCAATCATTAGTGAGATTTGTCTTCAGCCACCAGTGTTGGCCTTGAAGCAGAGGGCCACAGCTCTTGATGGTGTTTGTAAAGTAAGAATACACAGTGTGGCAGTGTTTGGGGTATTTTTTTTTTTCCTACTTTGAACATTTTCTTTTATAAAAGAAAAATTAAATACTTTTAAAAAACCGAAATCTGTGGATGAAATAGAAGCTGGACCCCCTCCTCTTGGAATATTTAGCCTAAGAGCCTCATGGGACTATGAATTCACCCAAAATTTCGTTTGCCATCAGGCCAAGCTTTTAAAGAAAAATTGTTCTCTAACCAGGATTGTAACAAAAGTGTAAATACTATTTCAGAGTTGAAAGTTGATGGTGCAAATATGTATATAACGTACTGTATTTTTACAATGATCGCATGACTATTCCACCCCCCTTTTTGTACTCCATATCTGTCTTCCAGAATCGTCACCTGCCTTTTCTCCTGTGGTCTCTTAATCCAATAATTGTATTACTGCCATTAAAGGATGCAGTTATTTTAAAAAGCCTGCAGGTCTGGTCTTTCTGTGCTGTCCTGGACGGTCCCTTGCTCTCAGAATTAAAGGGGGGAGCAGCAGGTGAAGCGTGGAACTGTTCTGTGGTCGACCCCAAGTGACCTTGTGGCAATTTGCGTCCAAAAGCCTCAGCCTTCCTCAGCGATTGGCTGCAGGTCATCTGCTGGCAGTGGCATCCCCAGGTTCCTGAGCTGCGGGGCCTGCCTGACCTTCAGGACTCCCGGCCTTCGGCCTCTGCAGCTGTGCCCACCTCCTGCACCTTTTTATGAGCAAGGGAACACTTCACAGCCACCCTTTGGCAGTCCCTTCTGTTCCCATTGTCCAGGACTAGGTTGTGTACCCTTCACTACCTCATTCCTGGCAAGAGGGGAGGAGAATCCCCATGACCTGGAGCCAAGCTCAGCCAGTGCACATCCTGGCATGTGGGACTCAGCGAGGGAAGGAGGCGGCAGGGTTGGCAGCGATGGTACCGCCATCTGCTCAAGGGTCTGAGGCACGTGTACCAGCTGCACCCAGGTTAGGATGACCAGCTGGCGGGGAGGGTGTGAGGAAGAGGAAGGCAGCACCTATGGGTGGGTACGTCCCGAGGGCCTTGACTGCTGTAGAGATCTCAGGAGAAAGCTTGGAGATGGAGGTCCAGCCAGGAGGTGTGGTGGTCAAGGCGCTGGATCCTTCGTGGCTCGCTGCGCAGTTCCAGTACTAGACCTGGTGGCCTGGAAACATGCAGGGTGCAGGTATATGCATCCCCAAAATTCCGAGAGAAGAATGGAGTAGAAGGGATTGCAGTGTGGCCATAACCCCCCAGGTGCGGAGGTGCTTTCTCACTTTTTTTCCTCTCTGTCTCTCTCAGTTAAATGCACCTGCTCTGTAGCAAATTAAAAAAAAAAAAAAACATGGAAAATTGGAAGTCAAATTATGAGTTTATTTTGGTGCATAAGAATGTTGAAATCCATGCATGGTTTTTTCATACTACACATTTTCTGTGAGCTTTTTGAAGACCCCTTATACGGTAATGACAAGGTCACTAAGGCTGGAGAAGGAACCTTCCTTCTGACCGGGATAGAGGAGAGAATTAGCCAGGAGGCTGGTGGTGTGACGCAGGGGCAGTGGCCCTGGGGCGCTAGTGACTTGATTCAGGGCTTAGAGGAGATGGACACTGGTGACTGGGTGAGGTGTGGTGTGTGTGTGACAGGCAGCCTGCTGGAGCGCATGTGGGAAGAGGAGTGATTTGGCAAGGCCCGTCCTCAGAATAGGTCATTTACGCCATTGGAGCACATGAGGTCACTCGGGAAGTACCAAGAGCCCTAAGGAGCACCATAGTCGCAAGAAGATAGAGATGGAACAGACGAAGCCACTGGGCGTTGGTTGGTGAGTGAGGCCTGGAGCCATGTTGAGAGCCTGCCCCTCTGAGACACAGTTGGCAGCATGGAGAAGCGGCAGAACTGGAAGCCACATGCTGACCGCGGTTCGAGTCTCCAGTCTGGTCGGCCTTCAAACACACTAGGTATGTCCACTTTCGTCCAGGAGGAAGAGGACCAAGGGATGACCCTGTGGAGGGTGTGTCTCTCCCTCTTGCATGTGTGCGTGCTCGCTCTACCACGGATGGATAGTCTTCCCTGTCTAAGATCACCTGGACGCTGACCGACTAGATGTTCTGCGTACCTGCCCCGATTCTACAGGGTCTAAGCCCTCCGCCCATCCCTCTAGCCACCCATCCGCTTTACAATCCTTGGCACTTTCAAGATAAGACATCTGAAGACACACCCCTCTCCTAAAGCCTAGGCGTCATTACCACAGTCCAATGCTGATTCACAGTTGCTTTCTTCTTTCTCTTTAGGAGACATTGCTGCAACAAATCTTAAGTGTGCACTGGTTGAATGTTGGGACTTGCATGTGTCTGTGAAACCCAGACCTTATTCATAGAGGATGGAAGTTCCCTCATGCAGCTTCTGGTCAGACCTGCCTTCATCCTCCAGGTGAGGACTTTGCGCTTCCGACTGTGCCTTCGCATCCGGGCTGGTGCAGGTGTCAGTAGCTTCTGCCTTTTGTTGCTGGGTAGTACCCCATCGGGGGTGCACCTGCTTGCCTGCTGATGGATATTCAGGCCACTTCCAGTCCGCTTATCAGGCTGCTGTAAGCATTTGTATGTAGGTATCTGTTTGAACACAGTTTTTTTTTAAAAAACTTCATTTATTTATTTTAATTTGACCAGAGAAGGATGGGGGAGGGGGGCGCGGAGGTGAAAGGGAGGGAAAGTGAGAAAGCAAGACTCCAGGTCTGGGACTTGAACCATGGTCAGCCATGTCCAGCCCCCAGATTTTTTTTTTTTAAGCTTTTGCCATTAGGCACATCCTCTCCCTGCAGAAAGACAGAAGAAAAGTGAGAAATCATCCCCCAGGAGAGAGAGCCACACCACAATTCCTTCTCCTCTATTGGGATTTTTGGCACGCATGCGCACGTACCCAGTGTGATTTTCAAGCCATGCCCCCTGCTGGCTCCTCTGCCTCCATCTTCTCAGCCTTCTCCCCTGGGTCTGTGTTGTCACCTGCCTCTTACAGATACAGTTGCCATTTGGATTTAGGGCCCTCTCAGGTAACCCAGGATAGTTTCATCGACACCCTTAATTAACCTACAAAGAGCCCTTTCCCTTTCCAAATACAATCTAGTCACAGGTTCCAGGGCTTAGGCCATGGACATATGTTTGGGGGGACCATCACTCAAGCCACTACCCTAGTCTTTCCGCTGATTCAGGGGGTGCTGGCGTGAAGGCCCTGAGGAATTCTGCAGCACACGTGATCATCCCACAACATGTGTGCAGCACATGTGATCGTCCCACAACACGTGTGCAGTACACATGATCGTCCCCCCACAACCCGTGTGCAACACGAGTGATCATCCTCAACACGTGTACAGCACATGTGATTGTCACACAACATGTGTGCCGCTGTTGTTCCTCATAGAGCATTTTCACACCCAGCCAGAGTATCTCTGGATGTCTGTTAGACACAGTTTCCTGGCTGTCATTGGGTCACCCTTACCCGTAAATGAGCATCTTGCCAAGATGAGGCACTGCCGCTGACATTCAGATGAGCACTCCAGGGGTGAGTCAGCCTGGCTATTACTGAAGACGCAGGGGATGAGCTGCTTTGAATCTCAACAGTATGTCCTGTTGTTAGCCTGACTAGGAGCTCTTTTCTTTTTAAGTTGTTTATTTAATTTTTTTTATAATTATTTTATTTTATTCATTCATTCATTCATGCATTCATTCATTTTTTAGTTTGACCAGAGAGAGACAGAGGGTGAGAGTGAGAGAGAGAGGAAGTGAGAAAGCAAGCCACCAGATTCAGGACTTGAACCCTGGTCAGCCATGTGGGAGTGTCCAGCGCCTTAACCACCACACTACCTGCTGGTCCCTAAATTTTTTATTATCATTATGTTTTTAAAATTTGCTACAGGGCACATGCACTCAGCAGAGAGAGAGAGGGAAAGTGAGAAAGCAACCCGCTGGGTTCAGGACTCGAACTGCATTCAGCCATGTGGAAGTCCAGCACCTTAACAGTCATACCATCCACTGGCCTCCAGCTAGGAGCTCTTAATAATCCCATAGGACCACGCCAGCTGGTGGTGGGGTGATTAAGTGGCCAGATCCCACACGGTCAGCTCTGCAGTTTGAGTCCTGTTTTGGTGGCACGAGTGTCCAAATTCTGAGAGAATGGAGGACTACGGCATGGCCCTCAGAGGGTGCTTTCTCACTTTCTCTCTCTCTTTCTCTCTCCAGCAAGTATACACAAAAACTATAGCAAAAACTGAAAATAATAATGATTCTACAGGACACTATTGAAGAATTTGGAGCCTATCGAATGTATTAGGAAGGATTGGCTAGGTTATGTTGTAGAAACTGCCCCCGGTAGGTGGTGTGGTGGTTAAGGGCATTGGACTCCCACATGGCTGACCACAGTTCGAATCCCGGACCTGGCAGCTTGCTTTCTCACTTTCCTTCTCTCTCTCCCTCTCTTTCTCTCTCTTTCACTCAGTCGCTCTCTGGTCAAATTAAATAAATAGGGGACCAGCAGGTGGCGTGGTGGCTAAGGCGCTGGACATGGCCCACATGGTCAACCATGGTTCAAATCCAGGACCTGGTAGCTTGCTTTCTCACTTTCTCTCTCTCTCTGTGTGTGTGTGTGTGTGTCTCTCTGGTCAAAATAAAATAAGTAAATGAAATCATTTTAAATAAATAAATAAATAAAGTTAAATTCTTTTTTAAAAAATTAATAGTCAAAGTTTATTTCTCATTCACAGATCATCAAAGGATTCTACTCAGTGTAGCCACCGAGGACCTGACTGAGATTCCACTCCTAGAACACTTTGATCTGAGAAAACGATGATGAATAGTTCACCTGCTATTAAGTCCTCGAAGAAGGGGGGGGAAACGGACTTCACTTCTGCTGAATTTTATTGGCTAGCATGAGTCACATGATCTTAATTGCAGAGGGTGGACATGTGCAGTTCTACCACGTGGCCAGAAGATGGCGACCTGAAACTCTTTGGAGAAGGGCACTAATGTCTTTCCAGCAGGATAGCCATCCCCACTGTGAGCAGTTAGCAGGGTGGACAGCAGAAGCAAGCCCAGGAGCCTGGACGCCCTAGAAGCTGCCTCTCTGGGCCAAGACCTCTCCTACCTTACCCCCTCTGCTTCCAGAGAAGGCCTGGGAATCTCCCTGCCTCCTCCAGCCCCTTAGCCTCCCACTTCCCTTCATGGCGTTTTCTCCCATAAAGCCCTGGAACATCTACTTCTCAGAGGACTGGGCTAACACAGGAAGCACAGGGTTGGTGTTCACAGGTGGATGGTTTGGCTGCAAAGTCCCGTGGACATTTGATCCAAATGGCAGCAAAGGTGACTGAGGTCAAAAGATGGCTGCAGTAATGGCTGTGTTAGTACCTGAAGAAACACGCCTACAACTTGTGTTGGTCAGGGTTCTCCAGAGAGCCGGAAC